AGCAATCCTTCCTCACCCTTTTGAATGCTAGGATTACACCACCAAGCCTAGTTTTCAATTTCTTTTTTTGTTTATTTTAAAGAGAATAAAACAAAACAAAACAGAATAAAGCAAATAAGAACAGAACAATGCAAATGATAGAGGACTTCTAAACAAGGCAATGGGAAAGTAATAATGTCTACCATAATGTCTCCATTTTCTTCAAAATAGCTTGTCCATACCATCACATGAAATAAAATCAAACAAAACAAAACAGAACAAAACCAATCAAAATAAAAGAATGAAAGCATTACAGGACTTCAAAACAAGATAATAACAATGGCTACTATACTGTCTCTTTTTTTCTTCAAAATAACTTCATACCATCACACATAATAAAATCAAATAAAACACAATAGAATAAAACCTATCAAAAGAATTAAAACATTACAGGACTTCAAAACAAGATGATGGGAAATCAACAATGGCTTCCATAATGTTTCATTTTGTTCACAATAGTCATCCATACCCTCACACATAATAAAAGCAAAACAAAACAGAATAAAACCAATCAAAGCAAAAGAATAAAAGCATTATAGGACTTCAAAATAAGATGATAGGTAAACAACGATGTTTACCACAATATATCCTGTTACCTTCAAAATAGCTGCCCATATCACCAAGCACAGTAAAATCTAACAACCAAGACACAACAAAACCAAATCTAACAAAATTATGAAAATTGTACAAGAATTGAAAACGAGGTAATTGGTAATTAGCAGTGATTCCCACTTTCCTTTTTTAGGCATTTCCTCAACTATCACTGTTATAATCTAATGTGCCTTTTGGATCCCACTAACTCCTTCAGTTTTTGATGCTAGGGGGATAACTTGGTGTTCACCTGTATGTGTCCAAACCATTTCACCCATGAACATGATCTCAGTTGCATCCATTTCCCTACAATAGCCTCAAAATTATCCTACTTTATAGCTGGGCAGCTTTCCATTGTATGTAAATACCATATCTTTCTTATCCATTCTGCAGTTCATGGGCAAGTTACTCTTGCTTTTTTTTTTTTTTTTTTTTTTTTTTTGGTCTCTCGTCACATAGAACAATTGTTTTCTCTCCTTTGATTTTTTGTCTATGCATGCCCAGGTTTGCCACTACTCCTTAGGGCCGGGATTGTTTCATAATTCCAGAGACTATTTTTAGTCTCGTATAGTAAAAATTCTTTATGCCTACTTTCTTCAAGCCTTCTACATTTGAAAAAAGGCTCTATTTGCCAAAATACCACAAAATTAGTTTAATTACCATTAATAATATTTACACTTCTGGACCCACTGGACCAGAAACCAAACCAAACCAAACACAAAACAAAAATCAAGCTTTCACACCAAAGAACATAGTATCCTCCTTTCTCTAAACAGTTAAAAATACTATGCAAGTAATTCCTCTTTGACAACAAGACTGCAGAGATTGTGATTATTTTAGTGAAGATGGAGTATTTCTATGCTGAGTGTAAACATTTCCAGCAATGGCATTTTTTTACTTTTTTACTTTTTTTTTGAGACAGGGTCATGCTATGGAGTTCAGGCTGGCCTTGGGCTCACTTTGTAAGGCAGGCTGGTCTTGAACGTGCAATAATCCCTTGCCTCAGCCACGCAAAGGCTGGGATTTCAGGAGTGCACCACCACGCTATACCATTTAATCACCATTTTAAAAATCTGTTTTTAAGATGGGTGTCATCATTTCAGCACTAAAATGCTGGCAGTCAATTCTTCTGGTATCTTAACCATCTGGATAATACAACAATTTACCTGCTTAGTTAATTATTTAATAGTTTAAAAACTTATTTAATACTTTAAGTGTTAGTTTTATTCAGATTCAATCGTCTAAACACCCTGGGTTAATGGCGCTCAAATTAGCACAGGCGGTCTACACAGTACATTCTGGTCCTCTAGGCAGCACTCTAAAGTTAACTTTAATTCTTTTGTTCTGATTCAGCTTTTTCAAATCTTTATTGTAAACACCATATAGCAAATACTTATAGACTTTGCAGGTCACATATAGTCTCTGTTGTATATATTCATGAGAGGTTTGTTTCTTTTTTGTACTGGGAATTGAACTCTCAAATTTGCAACCTCACACTTGCCAGGCAGATGCTGTACCACTGAGCTATATCCCCAGCCCTCCTTTTCTTTTAAACCACTTAAAAAAGAAAACACAACAAAAACATAATGAACTTATGAGCTAAATAAAAAAGACTGGATCAATTGGATCGGTGGCCCATATGGTAAATACAAATACAAGCCAATGGTACATAAGCACTAATAAAACAAGGTTCATGTTATAACACCGGTAAGTGCTCAGATCTTATTACTACTTTTCCTGTGTAAGTTGGGTTTTTCCCATTTGAACCTTCTGATGTAAAAAGTGAAAATGTGCATAGCGTATTTGATGATAGACACAGACTTAGCCCTATACACACTTGCACACTTGCACATTTTATTTCTGGAAGAGATTTTAGAGAGTATGTAATTAGAACTGCCTCCTCATTTTACAGATAACTTAAATAATGATGATTAAGTAACTTACAAATATCTGAGGGATAGCAGGCCTTCAAAGGAATCCTTACGTAGTTCGGTGAGGTAATTTTCACTGAGATTTCTGGAAGATGAAAAGGTTATTTTTAAATCACATTTCCTCAGAAACCTGAAGGATATGCAGTGATAAAAAAGCGGAGGAAATGAGCACTGTCAGTCCTGCCACGTGGAGTGTACCTGGAGAATTAAAGTCTCATATCTACAACAATCTCATGCCAACAATCCCCTTTGCAGGCACTTGTTCTACAGAAATATTTGCCCATGTTCACAAAGAAGCATCAACAAGTGTCCATTGTGTGGTACAGGTAACAAGAAAGCTGGAGAGGACTGGGGATATAGCTCAATGGCATAAGCATCTGCCGGGCAGGTGCAAGGTCCTGAGTTCAGTTCCAGGTGCCAAAAGAAGAGGATAACAAAAGAAACCTGGAGAGGTACCTCCCCAAATAAGAAACCTGACCAAAAAACGGGCAACTACAATGAATAGACACATCTCAGAAGAGAAGCACCAACAGCCGATAAATGCATAAAAAATGTTCAATAACTATGGTGCTTAGAGCATTGTAAAGTAATAATATTCCATCTTACCCCACAAGGAATGGAATCAGCAGGAAGTCAAACAATAAAAAATGCTAGTGAGGCTATAGGGGAAAAACACTTCGATGTTGCTGGTAGACATGCAAACTAGTGCAGTCACTGTGGGACTCAGTGTGGAATTGCCTCAAAAAACAACTAGCAATTCCACTTGACCCAGTTATTCCCCGTCTAGGTATTTTCCCAAAAGAATTAAAGGCATCATGTTACATTGATGAATTCATAGTCATGTTTGTAGCAGCACAATTCATAATAGCTAAACCTTGGAAAGGGCCGCTATGTCTATCGACAGATAATGGATAAAAACAATGTATTTACACACAGTGCAGTACTCTGCCATAAAGAGAAGGAAACTCCAGTCTTTTGTGGAAATCAAACATGTTTAATTATGTCATGAGTTCTGTTGTATGGGAAACCCAATGTCTAAATAAAAAGCAAAATTAAAGGCAATAGCGTGAAGGGAGATAGATCTTTCTCAGAAAGCAGGTGCTCAAGAGATGGAGGGAAAGGGGATAGAGAAAAAGAATTGAGATGTATGGTATCATGTACATGTGCCAATTGCTCATGAGGAATATAATCATCATATACTGCAGTGCACTAATTTTAAAAAATGAAAAAAATCCTAGATATACCCTAAACATCTATCAATAGGGATATTACTAAATGAGGCAGGAAGTTGGGCTACGTAAGTGAATTCAAGGTTATCCTGCACTACGTAGCAAGATCCTGTCTTAAAAAAAACACACCTCAAAAATTAAGACAAAATGAATACACCGTGAGAGCTGCAGTGGTGCATCCCTGTTACCCCAGCACTCAAGAAGTTGAGGAAGGAGAACTGCCATGAGTTCAAGGCCAGCTTGCACTACATAGTGCGACATGTCTCAAAACAAACAAGTAGGGCCAGGGATTTAGCTCAGTGGCCTAAGTGCCTGCCTGGCAAGTGCAGGTTGTGAGTTCAATCCCTGGTACCAAAACAAAACAAAAAACAAGTAAAAATAAATACACATTATGGAATACTGTAGGAGTTTAAGTGAGTGGGCAACCCTCTCTATGTGGGGTAGGAAATAACACTGATGTATCAAAAGTGAGAGAGTCAAATTACAGGATAGTACTGTTTAGGTAAAAAAGAAAAGCCACCTGAGAAACCTATTTCACTGTATGTCAGTATGTGTGCAGGCAAATGCATGGGAAAGATCAGGAAAGATACATCAGATTCAGACTAGTGGTTACCTCATTGATGGGTCATTAGAGCATATGGAAGGTCTTACCTGTTATTTAATCTTTTTTTTGTCTTTTACCTTTTTAACGGTACCGGGGATCAAACTCATGACAGCCTGCTTGAAGACAGGTGCTTATGCCGGCAGAGCTAAATCCCCAGCCCCCTGTTATTTCATTTTTATTCATTAAGAATGTAATCACATTCTCTTTGTATAAAAAATAAATTTCAGTTGTTTCTTTCCAAGAGGATCTGTGAGGGCTGCGATTTAGCCCAGTGGCATGAGCGCCTGCTTATCAAGTGTGAGGTTGTGAGTGCAATCCCTGCTACCAGAACAAAAAGAAAGAAAGAAAGACATTGCTCACCGAGAGGGTGTATGAAATTTAATTCTCTCTTTCTCTTTCTCTCTCTCCCTCCCTCCCCACTTCCAGAGCTGGGGCTTGAACCCAAGGGCTCACACATCTAAACACATGTTTTAATCAAGTGAGGTTGACCTGAGATAAGATGGGGAAATACCTTTGCTCAAAAGTGTTGACCTCAACATGCTGAATCAAGGAGGATCCTGGTTTTTGTATGAAGTTTTTATATTCGTGTTTGAAAAAATTATACTCAGTTTCTCAGCCCAATGGTAGGTTTTCCATGCCCCTTTTTGTATACTATAAATAGAGTTTCCTTGGAAATCCCTGTGAAGAAACAGTTTATGTCTTTGAATAACTGGGAAAGGAATAAATACAAGAATCCTAACAATATCCAGGATATTCAAACACAGAGACAATAACAGCTTTTCATTTCCAGAACTAACAGCTCCCCAGTTTGCACAAGACTGTCAGACTGTGGAGCAGCCAGCACAAATGATGAGACTTTTGCTCAGCAGCTCAGCTTCCTATCTGTCCAGTCTCCTGGATTAATGATGTCGGTCACTTAGTTTTAATTTAAGTGTTTTTCCCAAAATCACTTGGGTACAAGATGACTCCTACAAATCAATAAGTAAAAGAAAAATCATTCAACAGAAAAATGGGCCAAAATGCATCATTATTAGTGAGTAAGAATAAAGCAAGCCTCTGCCAGCTGGCGCCAAAGCTTTGGCTCGGTACCCTTTGTGGAAGCTCTGCAGGCAGTGGAAGGATAAGGGCAAGAGCAGCGTAGAGGAGCTAACGTCCTGATGTGGGAAAACCACTTGGACTTGATGCACAGGGAAGAAGAGGAACCACCAGGCAAGCAGTAAACCATCACCTGGTCAGGTGCAAAAACTGCAAAGGAGAAGGAGGAACCCACACAAAACTGGCACCAGGGCTTATCTCCCGTGTGACAGGGTGAGGGAGACAGATGGTCAAGCATATAAGGGTATGGATCTCCCATTATTCCATACACATCTCTGACTCCTTTTTAAAGGAGGTCTATCATGCCTTGCCAATGAGTTATTAGGTCAGGAGTAGGGGAGCACACCTGTGATCACAGCACTCAGGAAGCTGAGGCATGAAGATACCAGTGAGCCTCAGACCAGCCTGCCTCGAACCAGGGTTCAGTTCCAATTTTGCGGAAACTCATTCTTTATCCGTCAGCAACAACTTTCCTGCTCAGTTTGCATACACTTTTCCTGAGGATGGCGGGAAAGCAATCAGTCTGCTCATGCGCCTAGTGAACATTTCCACGTGACCAGATGCATTCTCATTGCTCTGCGCTCACCACGGCCTCAAACAGAACTTGTGCCCCTCAAGCTGGCTCTCCTCCCTGCTTGGGGCTGCCACCTGTGACACCTCCACCACTCAGCTCCACACAGCATGGAGACGGGAGCTCACAGGAGTTTGCACTTCTCTGTCCACCCTGCCCTCAGCTGTTTACTGGGTGACTTGGTCACGCAGTGTTCCAGTGTTCACCCACTCTCACACCAGCACCCTGCTCAGCCACTTGTCACTTATCCCCAGGCTCCTAGAGATTCGAGGTCTCCCTGAATTCAGCCTTCCCTTCCAGATGCCTCCACATGTGGAGTCTAAAAGGGTCCTCCTGTTTTGATCATTTTGCTCTCTGGCTTGAAAACTCTGTCTCTCTGTGTCTGTCTGTGTGTCGGTCTCTGTCTCTGTGTCTCTCTGCCTGTCTGTCTCTCTGTCTCTCTAAAGATCCTAAAGTTGATATTCAGTGTTCATAATTTGAAATAATACCTCATTGCTTGATAACCCTGTTCTTTTCAGGCAGACTGGCCTGTGCAGCCATGTTCATTCCTGCTGCCATGCCTTTGGGCTGGCCTTCCTGTGTTTCCTCTGCTTGACAATTGCAAGCACTCTAAGCACCAGCTAAGGTTTGAGCTCCCCCATGCAGTGTTCCCTAACCTTCAAATCTTGTGACTCTGCATCTATTCTTTATGGCCCCACCACCTCCCCTAAGGCTCTTCCCCTCCCTTCTATCATTTTCATGTTCTGGAAAAAGCATTATGCTTCTTTAGTTCCCCATGTACTTAGCTCTGCAGGAGTGAGCACAAACTAGATACTGCAAAGCAAGGGGCAAAGGTGAGTTCTGCACATAATTCAGGGCCTCAACAACAACAACAGTAGCTAATATTCATACATATGGGGGTGCTGTTACTTGTATCACAGTGTTCTCTTTTCTGACACAGTCCTGTGAAACAGTAAACATTATATTCCTCCTTCCACAGATGAGGGAAGTGAGTCACAGACTAACTTGCAAAATGTTACAAAGCTAATGAAAGAGATGTCTGGGTTAAAATTCAGGCTGTCTGGGTCAGGCAGATTCTATTCCTTTTTCCAAGGGGTGAGGGATACTAGGTATCAAACCCAGGACCCTGAGTGTACAAGACAGGCAGTGTACCTCTGAGCTACACCGCCAGGCCCAGAATCTACTCGTGCCCACATTGCTGTATCATCACTAAGGAAATGAGTTGTGAAAAGGGGGGAGCAAAAATAGGAGAGTAAGTGTTAGGTGGTGGGATAAGTAAAGTGCAACCCATCTGGGACCCCACCTGTCTCTCAGGAGCTATTCCTAGTCACCACTCCTATTCCCCAGTAAATTTTCCTACCCTTAACCTCCATTGTTCCTAAGAATTCACTCTTCATCTTCAGCGAAAATGAACTCAGTGTGTCTGACTTCCAGTAGGTTGGGAGTGACGTTCTGTTATTTTTGGGTTTTTCTTTTACCTATTTCATCATAACCTGGGCAGTGCAGGTGACAGCAGACACAGTGCTGTCAATCCATCTGCCCCTCTTAGCTGACTTGCAGGTGCTTCGTGAAACGTTTTACTTTCCCTGATTTAAAGACTTGAAAGCAGGGTTACAACTCTGGGCCAAGCTTGGTGAATTCACTAAGACCGTGTCTCAAAATAAAATATATGAAGAAAAAAACAAGGAAAAAGGGTAAGAGGGCACAAATAATACAAAGAGAGTGGAATAAAGAAAATTGAGAAAGAAGAAGGTAAAAACAGAAAGTCAGTGTGAACAGGGGATGTGAGGACAGTCTAGGAAGCCCTTGAAGAAAGGGCTGTCACCTCGGGCACAATGCAGACAACAAAAGAAGAAAACTGATCCTTACAAGACTGTGAAGGAGTTGACCTCTACGACAGGTACTTGGCGCAGCCTTTGCTTCGGGCTGAGACCCGTACATGACAGGGTGTCATTGTCACAGGTGCAGAGCTCACATATGTTGCTAGTGCTGGTGGCATCCTGCACCATTTGTGCAGAATAATGGTTAGTGTTCTGTTCCACATCCAAAGGTTGAACCGTGATGGGTGTCAGGTTTGGTTGCTGAGCCTGCACTTGGTCTGGATGTGCAAGGGTCACCTCAGGATGCTGCTGAGGAGAAGCTTCAATCTCCGGCAGAGTCACAGAATGTTCAGCCTCTGCAATGCCTTTTGCAGTCATGATAAGATCCATATACATTGTGTGTACCACATCAGTGGGGAATGTTGGGCTCTTAGCTGTATCCTGACCCAGTGGTGTTGGATTTCTTGTTTGAAGTGGTACCATGTGTTGATTGACAGCCTTCATAGACGGTTCTGGAGGCTGAGAGGGGTTCACCTGCATCACTGAAGGAAGTTTAGTTTCAGTAGCAGGTGGTTGAGTTATGGAATGTTCCACATGCAACAACTGAACCATGCTGCTTGTCAGGTTTGGTTGCTGAGCTTGCACCTGGTCTGGCTGTGCAAGGGTCATCTCTGGTTTCTTCTGAGGAGCTGTAACCTCTAGCAGGGTCGTGGAATGTTCCACCTCCATTGTAACTTCAGGATGTAGTTATGTCCAGTGGTTGCCCCATGTCCAGTGGTTGCCCCATGACACTGGTCAACATGTGAGGCTGAGCTGGAATCTGACCCGGTGGTTTGGGAGTTATCATTTCAAGTGGTATTGTGTTCTGATCTACACCCTTTAATGATGGCTCTGCAGGCTGAGAGGGGTTCTCTGGCAAATTGGGTGTGAGTTGCATCCCTGAAGTAGATGGAGGTATTGGATGCTCCAGTTTCACAGGCTGAATGATTGCAGGAAACACAGTTGGTCCCTGAGACTCTACCTGCCTTGAAGGTGGGAATCTTACATCACGATCCTTCAGAGAAGCAACTGTACCCTCCTCTGGGGCCACAAAATGTCCAGCCTCTTTAATGGCTTTTTCTCTCATGGTAAAAGCCATTGTTTGGACTATGCCACTGGGCAAGGTTGGAGGCTGAACTGGACCCTGACCCAGTGGTGCTGCAGTTGTTCTGTGAGGTGTTACTCTGTCTGGACCTAAAGCCTCCATAAATGGTGTTGGAGGCTGAGATGGGTTCTCTGGCAAAGGTGGTGAATGGAGAACCTTGGAAGTAGGTGGAGAAGGTCTACTATGTTCTACCCTCCAAGCCTGAATGTTGACAGGAGTCAGGTTGGGTTGTGGAGCCTCCACATTCCTAGGGTGTGCAAGTGTCACCTCGGGATGCTTCAGAAGAGAAGCTGTAACCTCCTGCGGGCCCACAGAATGTTCAGCATTTTTAAAGGCTTTTGCATTCAGGATAAGAGCCATATCCATTGGTTGTACCACTGCACTGTGCAATGTTGGACTCTGAGCTGTATCCTGCCCTGGTGCTGTTGGATTTGTCATTTGAGCTGGTACCATGTGTTGATCTCCAGCCTTCATAAATGGCTCTGGAGGCTGAGAGGGGCTCTCAGGCCTTGTTGAAGAAAATTGACTTCCTGCAACAGGTGGTGGAGGCAGGGAACGTTCCACATCCGAAAGTTTAAATATCACGGGAGTGAGACTTGGATGCTGCGTGTGCATCTGGTCTGGATGTGCAAGGGCCACATCAGGGTTCTTGTGAGGAGGAACTGTGACCTCCTGCACGGCTGTGGGATGTTCAGCCTCTGCAGTAAGTTCAGGATATAGGGTAGGGCCTGTATCCAGTTTTTGTACCATGACAGTGGGCAATGTTGGAGGCTGAGCTGGACCTAGAGCCAGCAGTGTAGGAGTTATTCTGTAAGATGATTCTCTACGTTGACCTAAAGCCTCCAGCAATGGTGCTGGAGGCTGGAATGGGGTTTCTGACAATGTTGGTGAAAGGAGAAACCCTGAAGTAGGTGGATAAGTTCTAGTATGTTCTACATTCCAAGCCTGAATGTTGACAGGAGTCAACTTGGGTTGTTGAGCCTCCACCTTCCTATGGTGTGTGAGTGTTACCTCAGGATGCTTCAGAGGAGAAGGTGTAACCTCCTGCAGGCCCACAGAATGTGCAGGCTCTGTAGTGAGTTTATCACTTGTGCTAAGCCACATGTCTAGTGGTGGGGTTGTGACAGGTGATAATGTGGGATGCTGAGTTGAATACTGACCAAGCATTGGAACTGGAAGCTCATTCACTGTTGGCCCTTGTGTCTTTTCAGAGGCTGAGTGCAGTATTGGAGATGGTTCCTTGGGTATCTCCCCAGGTCTCAGGATGGAATTTGTCAAATGTGAGAGATGAGTTGCACTGCCCCTTAGAGATGAAATATTGATCTCCTGATTCTCTGACAGCCGATGTAAACCCTCCTCACTAAATAGCTTCTCTTGGTGTAGGATTAAAGAAGGTACAACCTGTTCAGCAGGCTGTGAGTCTCGATAAGGGTCTTCTCCCTCAGGTAGAGAGGACTGGATTTGTGGAGCCTCTGGATTTTTAGTCTGGGCCTCCAGCTGGTATTGTGATGATTCCTTGTGCTCACAGGGCTGTGTAGGTTGATCTGGCTTCAGCAGATATCCCAGGTGTAGGCTTTTGTGATCAGCTTTATCCGTACTCAGATCCACAGTATCATCCTGCAAGGTTTGTTTCTGATGCTGAGGATATTCTGATTGATGAGCAGCTCCAAAAACCTCCTTAGCAAGTTGCCAGTGCTGAGCTATATCCTTCAGTTTCAGGAGTGAAACAAACTTTGATGGTGTTGAACTCTTGTTCCCTAGTAGTAGACGCAGTACATGTGACTGGTGGTCTGAAGCAGAAGCCTGCTCTGAAGCAGAAGTCTCCTCCTTTCTTCTGATTTGAGAAGGCATGAACTAAGTGTTCATTCTCATGCCCATCTACCATTGAATCCACCTCTGGGAGCCTCTGTGGCCCAACCAGCTTGTCATGCAGACCCTGATGTGGAACAGCAAACTTATCTGGATCCGGCAGTGACTCTTCAGTCGACTCCTCAGGTGTAAGTAAAATCTTCTCAGGTGCAGAGGTTCCTGGGTAATCCATTTCCCCTGACTCTGCTCGAGTAGTAAAGGTGTAGAGTGGTTGAGATGAGTGAAGGGACCTGTAATGAAAAAAGAAATAGCTATGCTCAAATTGCTCAACTTCCATCTGGGCTGGGAATTGAGCCCACTCGGGATGTGGGGCTACCAGGACCAGTAGCCACAACTGTGGCCAAAACATGAACCTTGGTGCCCCAAAGTGCAATATAAACATCATACGATAAGGCTTGGTCAACAAGACCTAGGCCAGTTGCTTCCAGCAAAACACTTGCTGAAATGTTTCTGCTGGCCACTTGCTGCCAGTGCCTTGGCAACCATGTACATTGTGCCCTACCCCACCGCTTGTGACATCATTGTTTAAGAAGCAGGTAGGTTCTGGCTCAGAGGGGCTTACCATGGCCCCAAGAAGTCTGGCTACAGTGACCATGCCTGTTGTGCACTAGCAAAAAGAGCTTTTCCATCCTGTGCTATGCTTGTCACCCTAGTAACTCCCTTTGCAAACACAGCTGTTTTCTGCAGCCAGCCACGCTGGAGCACTGACCACATTGTTATAAATTAACTGAAACACCACCATACTGTTCTGTATGCGTTGTCACTCGAGTAACCTGTTTGATGTATCAACCTTTGTTCGCTTTGTGAGACACAAATGTTCCTGGAATTAGTAGACCAAGGGCTGTAAATTCCCGTAAGGAAGGAACGGGTTAACCACCAACTGTGAAATGTCTCTGACCTCAAGCAAAGGGGAACAAGGGCCTTCCGCATTCCTGCTCTCCTCCCATCATTATTTACTTTGCGGTTTATTTTCTATAAAAGTCCCCGTCAAAATTTTAACCCAGTTACACAGCTTTGCAAACTCCAACTGCACTGTGTCATTGGTGCCAGCTGAAATAAAGCGCTTTTTCTTTGTAAAAGACACTTTGCCCCATTTTTTTTGGACAAGAGCTCGGGGTCTCATTTTTGGGGCACAACAATGCCCAAGTCCCTGCTTCCAGCAGAGGTAACAGCAGGGCCCTGCAGGGCTACTCCCCATATCAAGGTAGGATTTGGGCCTCAGACCTGGGTAGCCCTGTGTTTTCAGCAGCCCTTTGGGTTGGGGTAGGACAGAGCTTCCCATGGAGGTCACAGGGCTGGGCCTCTGTACACTCAGAAATAGTAACCCAGTCCAGCAACCTAACCTTTTCTTTCTCCAAGCCACAATCCAGGAGAACTCCTTCCTCCTTTAGGTATACAGGTTCTAAGGAATCCAGCTGACCTCCAGAATGGGGACTAGTTAGGGCAGCAGACAGGAGAATACACAATATGGTGGTTTATTCCACAGTGTTGTCATTTGCTCTATTCTCCATCCAGTGCCATGTTTGATGATTCATTTCCCTCTGTTAGGCTGGGGCTGCATATACATTGTGATGATGCATCGTGCTTGCAGGAGGGGTTTTGGAGGTGAGAAATTGGATCTGAGAGAAAGGATTTGAGTCAGTTCTTTACATTAACATGTGAGAACTCTCCCTACCCTTCCATGCCTCAACACTACCATCTACATGTGACAGTGCCCTTTTTCACAGCACACATGGGAAGACTCTTATAATGTTAAAATCCTCCTGTTAAATAGTTTTCTTGAAACACTATTATAAACTGACTCCATTCACAGTTGTTCTTCATCCATGTACTACTTGTCTTTTACCTGACACAACCTAGGCATGGGAAACTCAAGAAGAGACTCGATTCATCTTCTTACCTCTCCTCCCTTGCATTAGGTGGGGCACATAATAATGGTTTTTTAAAAATCTGATTTCTAAACTCTACTGACTTCCTTTTCTCAAATTTTGTGGGAAACTAGATTGTTTAAAGTTTGAAGCATCTTTGGTTTTGTTTAAATTACACTGAAGTCATTCTATGGGAAAAGTTGAGATCCTTTCCCAGAAAGCAACCAGATTCTCCACTTTTTAAAACAAACACTCCCCAATTTCTTAATCAGGACTCCCCAAGTTAAGTGCTGAAGAAGTCCTGATCTCACTGCAGCCAATCTGTTCTCTGCCCCTGAACTCAGCTAAGTCACATGACTTGTCATCCAATTGAAACTTCTGTAAATGTGCTAAAAACAACTATGTCACATAAAAACTGTGGTCACCCCAGGATATGCATTGTACTATGGCCTACAGTTATACTTACCTAGCTTTTTTTGCAACTCCTGCTTGCCACACTATAAAAAGGACAAACTCTTCATAATCAGTGCCTTCGACTGTGGAGATTACTCCTCTGGGGACTGCCAGCAGTCAGTAAAATTTCCTTTCTTCTCCTGAGCTCCTGGCTACTGCAGACTCAGTTTTACTGCTACAGTTACACTGGCATGAAACTGTTTTTGTCCTTTCCTTTCTAAACATCCTAAAAGTAGTAAGTGATGATAATTTTCTTAAAGAAATTACTTTGGAAAATCAATCCCTAAAGGTTTTGTACAATGGATTTGCAGAAAGGTTCTTTGGTAAAATATTCTACTTCAGTTGTGGGGAGGTGCTGACCCCTAGGTACAGACCATACTGAGAAGGCAGAAGAGTGTTCAAAGCTGTAGCACAATTGACTTCAGGGCTGTAGGCACATTGATCCTGGAAATCTTGTGTGAGGGGAGCTCCAAAAGGACCTGTGTTTAAGCAGCCTGACTTCTCTGTCCTTGAGAGGAACTCTAGCTCCTCCCTCAGGTCCACAAATATGAAAGTACCTGAGAGGCCTCAATTCTACCTGTTTAACTTCAAATGAGGGTTCAGGGCCAAGAATGGGACTTGAGGAAAAATGACAGAAATTTCCTGTACTAGGAAGCAGTCTCAGACTTTCATGTTTTCCTGAGACATGCCTGCAGTCTTCCAAATCCTTCTGGGCCTTTTGGTGACAGTGGTGTGTTATTTTTGCTATATTGAGCACTGAACCCAAGGCATCTTACATGCTAGCAAGTGCACACAACTAGGCTCCCACCCCCAGCCCTTTATATTCAGTGCTGCTGGATGTTTTGAATCACGTCTACCCTGTTATTCTATCCTCGTGCTTTTGCTGCAGGTAGCTGAGTTAGTTAGAAATACTATAGGCAGTGAGACATGGCTGGGTCCTAGAAGGAGCCAGTGCGGAAACTCAGATACCTTGACCCTAGGGATGAGACAGACACATCCTGCTGTGGGCCAGGCCTCAGTCCAAAACATCAAACAAGTACATCCACATCCTAAGGACTGCCATTCTAAGTAGTTCCCTGTCACCCCGAGGAAGTCAGGAGTCACCATTCAAACCCCCTAGGGCAGGGTCACTGCTCCCTGAGAATGACTGCTTTCTACATGACTGGCTTTCCCATTTGTCCCTAATTAATCAATTTTACCCAAGCAATTGTTCTTATTGGCTAACCACACTTCTGTCCCACCTTATGCCTAGCTGCCTTGTGAGTTCCCAGTTTTCCCTGCATTGAACTGATGATTTTACTCTATAAAAGTCCCTAGAAAAGACAGAGTGCTTGACAACTTGCTCTGGACCGCTTCTCTCTCTCTCTCAGACAGAGGCTTTCTTACTCTCAATACATATATTGTGCTCTTATGCTCCTTTGTTCCTAAAATTCATTCTTTGATTTTAGAGAACACAAATTTGTACCAGACTTAGTAGGTTCAGAGGTTCATTCCCTTATGTTATTTGGAGGTCCCACCAAGATCATTGGCTGGAGGTAAGAGGTTGATTTTGTTTCATAGCTTCTGGACTGGGACTGATTGAGGTAACAGATTTTTATGCTTCAAATTTTGTTTTCTGTTTCATTGTTTATAATTGCTTTGTCTCTTATAGTTTTGTTAAAATGCTAAATGTAAGTTAAAACATGGAAAGTTTATAGTTATGAGATTTCTTTAACAGTACATTTTTATTATTTTTTTATCGGTTGAATTTAAAATAATTGCTAAAGTTACTGGTACCCCTTGCTCGACTGTATTTATACAATAGCACTAGAGATAATAATAATAGGACACCCCTAACAGACTTTAATGTGAACTTCTGTAAAATGGTTCTCTTCAATAAAATCTAGTTCAGACTTAAAAAGCATACATGCCTACAATAACACATGGGACTTCTTCCACCATTTAAAAAGCACTAGGCTGGTGGCTATTCTTCAAGACGTGCAGGACAGGTTTCACTAGGCAGACTGGCTCTGATCCTCCTCTGTACTCTAGAGGAAATGTCAAGTCTGTCCTGCTTCAGTGTCCTTTCTGTCACTTTAACGCTACTCTTTTCCCAGTTTGTATTCTCCTTATAGAGGCATATAAAATTAGGAAAAAAGTCTAGATTATTCCAACCTTTTCCTGCTAAGTGAAGCCCATAGAAAATGAGTGTTTGCTAATGCTGAAGATAGGGAAGTCATCTTAGATGCCGCACACACACCCTATCTCTGGGTTAGATGAGACATCAGAATACTGCCCATCCAGGAGTCCACACGTGAGAGTCATGTCCTGGCTGTGTTTGGGGTAAATCTCTTTAGAGATTAAACCTGAGACACAGTGGTGAGAACTGGCTTCCATGTGACAGTGGAAGAAGCTATCCCCAAAAGCAGCACACATATGGGACCTAAACACATTTAGAATAAAGGGGCTTTCCAACTTTTCAAGTTGTGGACTTTAAAACTTTGTTGTAAAAATATAGAGCACTAGGAAATGATCTTACTCAGGTTTTAACTATCCCTTTAGAACTTTGACAGTCAGTGTTCACAATAGCTGTCACTCCTAAAAACAGAGGACAGATTTCCTCAGCATCCAGTTGGTGAATCCCCATTAAAGCCAGTGGGCAAGGCAATCAGTGCAGTGCTAACCAGACAGGCAGCTGGATTCCTTTCTGGAGAATGATTTCTGGTTGTGTGGGGCCTATGCAAACTGACAACAACTGAGGGGTCATGGCCAAAACACCCATGGTTTCCTCGGTGGGCACTGGCTCCCCAGCCACAGAAAACTCCACTTCCTTATCTACCTGGATCTTTCTCGTAGTAAGCTAAAGGTGTTCCCTAAACTTTTCAGGTAGTTAAGACTACTTCTCTCAAAACTAGGCTAAGGCACCTGCAACAGCTTTTTATATCTGAAAAGAAACTAGCAGGAAAGGATTTACATTTGTGCCTTACCTATGTTAATTAGAAATAAGTAGCCATTTTTTCTTCTGTGCCTCTACTTGCTGGTAAAATGTAATTGCTAGATGATAATTTATAAATGTGACCTGTGAGCTTTGAAGATATAGAAATTTAAATAAAACTGGGGCTGGGGATTTAGCTCAGCAGCATAAGT